TGTACTCCAGCTGCTACTGCTGTGGTGCAGACTCCCACTGAGGGATACTGGCATATCTTGTGGGGCAGGCCGGGGTCGGGGGGGGAGTGAAATATGAACTCTGGGAGCTGTTTGGAGGGAGAACCAGACTTGAGGTCCAAAGGACCTGTGGCATGGTTCTGCAAATAGGGGTGCCAAGAGCCCATTCCCCAGCCCCACAGCCACAACAGCTGAAGTCTGCACATAACAACAGTATCTGGAGTGTGGGGAGTTCAAGCCATGTCAGATAACACCACTGCTGCTGAGGTCAGATCATTGAGGCACTACTGGAAGCCCTGGGTGGTGGCAGACACCCAGGAGCACTGTCAGGGAATAGGCACAGAAAGAGTGAACTCACCTGCTGCTGCCACTGTCCCTAGTTGACCCAGAGGCAGAGGGGAGCCCAAGGGCTGCTTCTGCCCCACTTGAGATGGGGACAGTGGAGAGTGGCTGAGCAGGGTGCTAGGTACAGTTGGGACAGTGGTGATGGTGGTTGAGTTCCTCTTCTTTGCTCTGATCCTATCTGGTGGGGGACATGAGGATGGGGGCACTGGAAGTGAGCAGGGCTAGAAAGAGCCTACTGCTGATGCTGTTCCCTACTGAGCCTGACGTCCCATCCCATCCTAGGCCAACATAGGGACATACAATGAGGACAGATAGGGAGCAAGGGCAGGAAAGAGGAACCCACCCACCACCATTGCTGTCTCTGGCTGAGCTTGGCACACTGAACAGCTGCTTCCTGCAGCTGGACCCCTGCATCATTGGGGAACACTGAAGAGTCAGACAAGGACCAGTCTCACGAAGGAGAGACCCACCCTCCCCATGCTCACCTGGGAGATCTCTTGAGCCTCTTTTGCCTTACTCCACCTGTGGGCTGTTGAGAACATCTGCATGGGTGCTGGGCTCAACTGGGGACAGGAGCAGCAGCAGCTGCTGCAAGTAGGTGAATCCCTTTTTCCTCCCCCTGCCCAGAATCCCCTCCCTCTGGTGTTCCCTGTTGGCCTGAAGGGTCCAGCGATGCCTCACCCCTTCCCCACCATGGTCTGAGGAACAACGCAAGTGGCATCTGCTGCAGCCCCTTTTTCCAAATCCAGGATTCTTCCCTGAACCATCCTGAGATGACAGTTGACCCCTACTGCATTGGTCTGTTAACATTACATTTTTAACAGCTTCCACGTACCCTTAAGGGGCCTGGGGTGGTGTGGGCACTAAGGTACACAGTTGACAGCCCAGAGATCTCAAGTTTGAGGACACAGCAAAAGCACTCATGGCCCAACCCTCTCAGATTCCAACAAATCTGCAAATTCTGCTAAATACCTTGTCACAAAGACATGAAAAAGGAAAAAAAAGAAAGGACCTACCCTTAAGATTGAGTCACCAAAAAACAAAACGTAAGCAAGAAGGGTTTTGTACTAACAGTTTTTCAGAGAGTCAAATAGGTTGTAATACAATCATATTTAGGCACCCATATACACTTATATACCTAATAGGTAGTATATAATCTGGCCAACAGTATCTATCAGGTCTTAATCTTTGGTCTGGACCTCTTAACACTACCACAATAAAAAATATGTACCACTCCTAAAAATGAACTTGTGTGCTTATTTTTTTATGTGTGTAGCTCTGTGTGTGTCTGTAGATGCACGCGCACATGCACCACACATATATATGTTTATGTAAGTATTCACAAATATATAGTGTGTGTATGTGCTTAGGTATATGCTCTGGTATGTGTGTGTGTTATATACCATATACTGATGGGGTGTGTACTATATTTATCTTCTGAGCAACTAGAAAATCCATTTCTAAATACAGTTATATAGTCATTTTCTTAATTTATTTAGTAATAATATCACATGAAATTGTGTTCTAAAAAATAAATTACTATATGCTACCATAAATGAAGCACATAACTAAACATGCATATGTACTGTAGAGCTACATTTAATCTTTTTTTTTCTTATGAACATATCAGTACAAAAAACATTTCATTATAAGGACAGGATTGTTTCAATCAACCAGCACATGGATATAAGCTGCTAAGCAAAACATTTGTATGACAGAGTATATGAAAGATCTACTATCTTGGTGATGTTTTATTCCAGAAGCCTGATTTTTACTTTACTAGTGTCCATTTAATGAAATTCACTGGCAGAGCAGTTAAGGGTTCCTGTTTCAGTTGCAGAGGTGCACATTTGAGCAGCACTCTGAACCCTTGGCAAAGTCTGCACCCCATTGACTTGGCTGCCTTGTCATTCATTATGGGGAGTCAAAGGGAGTTGGTCATGATGCTGCAATGAGTTATAGAAGTTGCTGTAGTTTAACCATACTAGCTCTACAGGATTCTTAGTCTGAGTGGGTCTTTGACCTTGATATTTAAGTGTCCATTTAGTAAGCTACCATGACTTCAGACATTGAGTACACTTGATTCCAATGTGCTGGTTAAAAAAAAATGATAATTTTGGGAAACTGCAATGAAAGATCAATGCAGTATCCCATTATATCAACATACTATGAATATTACTGCTAATGCACTACAGTAGAATTAAATCAATTCAGGCCTGATTTTATGAAATTCTGACAAGCTTAAATTAGAATTTTGATTTCTCAAGCACTTCTCAAAATCATATCCTCTATCCATTACTAAAAAAAAATGTTTCGTTCTTGAGGGAAAAATAAATTCACATACAACATACCTAGTCTTTTTATGCTTGTTACTGAACAGTCTTAACATGTCAGAATTAGACACAGGCCATCAAACAGCAACTATTTCCTTCTACATAAAGGCAAAAGTAAACTAAAAATATAATTGGTGAGTTATTCCTTATAATGGCTATCAGCAATAGCAAACAAATTTTATTTTCCCACTCTAATATTCAGGTTGTGTACTGATACCCTACTACCAAAGTACAGGCAGTTCTCGACATACATTTCGAGTTACAACATTTTGCACTTACAATATTTATAAATTGACACCCTGTTTCAACTTTCTGATGTCAGTTTCAACTTTATAACACTTGATCCAATGCCACACCACACCAGTGAAGAAGTTTGGTGCGTCGCCCAGCTCCCTGGAGAACATCTGTCCAAACTTCCTTGGACACTTTCTTTAAGAAGCAGTCAAGACTCCAGAAAAACCTGCAGCCAAGACTCTTGAGAAGAATCCAGCCAAGAGCCCTTCAAAAAGTCCAGCAAAGTCACCTCAAAGAAGTCCTTCCAAATCAATATGATTGCTACTTACAATATACAGGAAAAGCTTTGTTATCTGGCACCCGTGGGGAATAGAGGGTGCCAGATAACAAAATATTCTGGATTCCTGAGCGGCCCAAACAGGCGTCTTTGCCTGTTTGGGCTGCCACCTGTCCCGCCACATCTGGGGTGTTGCCACCCCTCCTGCCGCATTGCCACCCCTCCTGTGGGCCCAGAGGAACAGGGAGGGGGGGACCCGTGCAGCCTGCTATGCCCCGGGCCGTGGGGGCTTGGCAGTGCAGGATGCTTTCTCTCGGGTTGTGGGGGCTCCATGAAACTGGAAGTGCCATGGTGGGCACTTCTGATTTCACTTTTCCCTTACAAGCCGGCATGCTGGTTAACAGAGCATGCCAGCTTGTAAGGTGCCAGTTAACACAGCTTTTACTGTAAATACATTGATGTAGATGTATTACTTATCTATAATTGATTGAGTACAAAATTCTGAGGTACTTTTGGTGAAAACAGGGTATCTGGCCTTGGTTCAGGAACCAATCCCCCATTTATAGCATTGTTTCCTATGAGTAAATTGGTTCCGAGTTACAACATTTAGACTAAGATGCGGTTTTCAGGAACCAGTTGTGTCGTAAGTCCGAGGACTGCCTGTATACTTTACTATAAATAAAGAACTACTTCTTAAAAAGATATCCTAATGGCACTGCCACTATTAATGCATTTTCAAAGTGCCACACGCTAAGCATCTGGATTTTCTTAAATCCAGTGTTGTTACATGTGCCAATAGATTACTAAGTATTACACTGAACTGATTATATTTGATTTTATTCTTGGTCTGTTCTTCCTGTGAAAACACGTTACCACATCATTGCCATGTATCTGATGCACATACTTTAGGGTTTCTTTGTATCTTAGTAATAATAACTATAACAGCAACAGCTTTTCAAATGTTTTTAGATTTTACCTCTGTGCTATGTAAAACCCATTATTTAAGTGATTGTTCTAAGGCCACAGAGAAGAACAGTTGCAAAGCAAGAATGGAAAGACTAGGTATGACATCCTCATCCTACTGTAGTCTGTAGCAAAGCTGTCGTTGACTTCAGTGAAGCCAGGATTTTACCTTAGATTTCCTTGCTTCTAGTTTTGCGTTTTTTTATTTATATGCAATACATAGTTTTCTTCCTTAGAGACATTGTATACCTGTGGAAAAAAGTATCAGTTGAAATATTTCCATATGCAAAGTAAATATTTTGTTCAATTTTATCTACAGAATGATGGATTGTTCACAACCACTTATGGTGATGGCTTTTTTAGGAATGGCCAATGTTAGTTATGATTTGTAATAATGTAGTACATGACTTTTTAACATGCATGTCAATTCAAGTGCACCTGAATTTAAAAAAATAAGTATTACAATGCTGTTTAGGGATAATATAATTTGGTGGTACAGCAAGGGCCTTAACAGACCTTATATTTAATATCTGGTTTAAAAAGGAAATCAAACAATAAACAAGAGTGTGCTTTGGAACCATTGGAAATGTAATAATTCATAACTTGTAATATATTTGCAATATGATGTTTTTAAATTAAGCAAATATGCCATATAGAAGCAGAGACCCTTTTTTGAAGAATAATCTTTGTAAAAATATAGAAGGAAGAAAATTTAAAATTGAAAGAAAATTGTTACTGATAGAACTATAAATTAGAACAGGTTTCATGCCAGCAAAACTTGCTTCTTAAAAATCTGGCAAATGCAAATGAGGTGGTCAGATGTTGTTTCTTTAAATAACAATGGCCTGTAGGAGCCGAAAGCATATCATGATGTCCAGTGGAATTGGAGGCTGAATGTCATTTCCATCCAGGCGTAGATAGCGGAGGCGTGGGAAATCATTGTAGGGAACATAGTCTTCTATGCTAATGGAGGCTGGACAAATTTGAGTGCCACTGACATCTGCAAATACAGATAACTTGTATGAAAAAATGCATTTTAATATTGTTATCTCTAAAATGTGTACTTGTTATTTTTAATTTAAATTATAAAGTAGGCTATGATACACAGGCAGTTCAATTTAATTTCATACCAGGTTTACTACAAATTCATATTCTAGAGAGGAACTAGAATTCATTCCTAAATCTGGATGGTGGGAAAATTGGCCATTAAAGTATTAGGATGAATTTTGTTTGCAATGTATTTATTATAAACCAAGTTGTGATTTTGACTTTAGTGAGGGCAGAATGAGGTCAGCAGTGTCTGAAAATTTCATCCTGGGTGTCTGTACATTAACTGCGGCAAATATATTGTCTGTTCTATTATATTTAAAATCCAGAAATTTATAAATAAAAGGTTCATACAAGCATCTTTTTATAATGTTAGCATACTAAGCCCTCCTCCTCTCCTACATCATGCTCTCCAATAGTTTAATTAAACATGAACATATGAAAAATAGCAGAATTGTAAAAGGGCACATAGCCTTACTGCATATCAACCACTAGACAATAACTGCCTGCATGCATCTTTTTACTCCATGGTAAACAGAACTGGTAATGTAGGCCCCTCTCCCTGAAATCTAAGTTACTATGGCTGAATTTCTGCTTCCCTGGGGGTGTGAGAATGCACATGGACAGTCACTGCAGAGCAGCTAATATATGGTAAAGCACCCTCTTCTTATCTCATAATAAGCTGTACATTTATCCATACATATATTAACCGATGAAATGGCAGGTTGGCAATCCTGTTTTGACAGGTAAGAAACAGATGCATCTCTTTTAAAGAAATATATGTCTCATTTTATTTGAAATAAGATTTGATACTGTGGCTTTCATTATTCATCACTTTTCATGAGTTAGAGGTGTTAGCTTCTTTACACTGGCCCTCCTAAATACCATCTGTAATATCAACTGGGTATTTTCCACTTTTAATCTTAAACACTTGTGCAGGGATGTTGAACAGCTGCCATATTTCAGGCAGTAGTTGGTTTTATCTTAGTTATTGCTGAAGTAACTTTTATACATTGAGAATGTCAAACTTGTTGGGTCCAATTGTGGCATTAAGCTATTGACCTGTCTGCCTGAAGCTGTTATTGGCCCAAGGCCACCTCCCCTAAAGAGCGTGAAAGGAGATTGAGAGTTACTGAGAGAGAGAGATTTTTCTTAGAACCTCCATACAAGCATACATAAAACAGTTCCTAATTAAACATTTTTCATCAACACTACAAAGGTTTTCTGATGTTAGCAACACAGTATATATATTGAATGTCCTCAAGTGTCCATGAAATTTTTTAGTGAAACTTTACTTTTTCTCATCATCTTTGCACGAACAGACCTGTCTATAATGTCATTGGAACATTAACTTATACTTGGATTTTGTCTTTTAAACCCCCCAAAGCCAGAAGCCTTTTATTTTTAAGTGATCCTTTTTTGTAAGAATACAAATCTATCACAGAAGCAAGACAAATAGATTGAGTTACCCAAAAATTGCCAGTACAACTAACATACCAAGTGCAGCCTCCTTAAAAATGGTTGACTAATGTTTATAAAATGCTTGGTATTTTTTGAAGAAGAATTAGTTCTTGTAATTATTTAATTATATGGTGGTTGTTTTTAAGTAATATTTATTATTCAGAAGGATAGACATAGGCTATCTACTTACAGAAAGGTTTTATATCTATAGTTTCTTATGACTAAATATGTCCTGAGACTGATTTACTTTATTTGTGCATTTAAGTTTTCAACTTGCAATAAAGTTCATTTTTATGCATCCCACTATGAAACTAGAAGCTGCCAAGTGCTATTTCATCACGATTGTAATTATTAAAATGTGATTTTGAATGATCCCAGTTAGGCAAAAAACTGCTGTTTCAGGACACTTGGAAATTAGAACACCACGCAAAGCCACATGACAATCTTTATAGAAGACAGTCATCATCAGGTCTAGGTACATTCATTCAAAAAGCCTGAGGCAGAATCAGTTTAAGTTTATGTGGTTTTCTGTAAGCAGCATAGTTTAGATCGGCAGTTAACAGAGCACACATTTGCACTTTGGTGGGGGTGCAAATCTTAAACTGTGTTCAGTCATTTTTAAACCAGTTTATATATGCCGAACGTCTGTTCTATTATGGGCATAGACTGTTTTTGTGTGCCAAACATCTGTTCTGTTAGAGATATAAACAGGTTTCCGATCACTTATACCAGTAAAAGTATAATGTCTGTACCTGGCCCAAATAAGAAACAAACCAGAACAACAAGCCATCTAAAATAACTCAGCAGGCTGAGGCTCTCTTTTGTATCTCTCATACTAGACTTCTTCAAGCCCATTTGTGACCCAGGCTGCCAATAAAATGAAGACATCTTTCCTCATTCCATCACACCATTGTGGGACTAATACACTTGCTGATTTTTGGAATGAGATACAAGAGGAAAATCTTCATGCCAGTGTCCTTTATTCTTTGTCTGCCAGAGCTCTGGAATGGGCTTTTGACTAAGAAGTAGTATTTGACTCAGAAGAAGTAGTATCAGTGAGGTTGAAAAGTAATATATTTTAACTACTTAAATTCTTCTGCCTTATACTGCCTCATATATATAGGCAGGCAGGGAGAAACCTTCCCCTGGAGATGGGATTTTCATTCTTGTACCTACATGGACAGTAATCACAATACGCTGTGTAATGACTAAATAAGGGAATACACATAAAAAAAGATTCCTTAGGATATGGAAGAGTCTCCATTGATGCCTAATGTAGTAGTCCTGCTTAAATACACATGGGCAGGCAACTGCAGGACATCCTCTTCCATTCTGTGGCTAGGAGAGATCTTCAGTAAAGTCTGTGGATTATCTTTACCACTATAGGGATAAAACATTTTTGAAAGCCACACTTTGAGGGTCAGCACTGGTCTGAGCTGAGGAGAAGTGAGGAAGTCAGGGCTATTCAATCCCTGTTGCTTTGAGCCGCAGTTGTTAGGGTCCATCAGGAGTACTGGGGTCAGTGGTTTATTTCTCAAGACACATAGTAAAAAACAGCAAGAATATGAAGCTGATCTTAAAAGAAAATCCATACTTGAAAGGAAAACTAAAAACTGGGCAAAACAGTTGCCTTTTTTGGATGTAAAATACAGGAAGGACACAAAAACTGTCCCAAATTCAGGACTGTCACAGAAAACTCAAGACAGTCACTTTAGCGATACTCCAGACTTCCAAAGATGAATTGGGGCCTACACCCCCCGCCTCCAACAAGATCCCGAAAATGGAGTTGAAAGGAACCATTTTGCTCTATGTCTTGGGACTTCAAATTCTCATCTTTGTTTGGGACACCATACCAGGAGCTGAGAGGGAGCTTTTGCAATCTCCTGCTACCTCCACTCACTCATCTCTGCAATCTGGAATCTGCTTTATTCTGGTTATGTCATTTTTTCTCCTTTGCTATATTGGCACTGATCACTGTCTTCTTTGATCACCCCTTTGTTGGTACTATAATTGCTGTTCTACCCAAGCTTACTATCCCTGCCAATTGTACTCACATACTCCATAGTATTTCTGTCCCTCTGTTCTCCTCTCTCTCTCATCTTTTCCAACACTCCCTTTTTCCCCAATTTAGCCTCATATGAAATCCCCTGAATACTATTTTTGTCTTTTTAATTAAAATACATATGTAAATATGATAGACGTGCTTAAATGGCTTGGACCAATTTGATACGTGTGCATTGTCACATTTTTACTGTTGATTTTTTGTGTGCTTTGCCATTGTTTTTGCTGTTCTTTATATCACATGGTCTTTCAGAAAGGATCTTAGATAAAATCTAAGCATCTTTGAAACCTGTGTCAAGACCCTCATTAGTTTCAACAAGGCCTAAGTTTCATCCTATGTCATCCTGTATTTATACAATCCCAAGCAAAATGGAGCCTTGAACTTTACAGAGGAAGTTAAGTTATACTGTAAAATAAACAAATAAGGGAGAACACACTATGTGAAAAACTAATATTGATGTATAAGCCAACAACCTACTATACTACAGTACTGGCAAATGTGACATTCAGTTTTCATTTGATTCCTAGAAAGGAACAAAGACTAATGCCAAACAGAAAAAAAAGTGAACTTAGTTTGGAACCACTGTATAGAGAAACTAGATCCAAGAGTCTAAAATATGTTTTCTTTCATCAGCTTTTAAAACTAATTAAGCATTCTTTTCACTAGCTCTGAACAGAACAAAAAAACTGATCTGCAAGTTGATGTCACTTCTGCTTTCTGCCAGGGAAAATTATATTCATCTGTCTTTTGCTCTTTGATACTAAAGGTCTTCTGAGGTCTTAGATGTCAGAGCTAGTAGTTAATACAGTAGAATATTTGCAGTTATCACATACTTTTTTGACAGCACTAGTGAAATATGGTGATACAGTGAATCATTGATGTCTTTGTGTTGACTCCTTTTGCTTTACCTATATGTTTTTATATCCAGGGCAATTAATTGTATAGTTTTAGCTTGTTAAATTTGAAATAACTGGCACAGAGGCATAAACTTTTTGTAGGCAACAGCCTACTTCATCAGATGCTTCATTAGTATCTAGCAAGTAGGGTGTCACCTTTGAAAACTTATGCTTCACTATACCAGTTAGTCTCTAAGGTGTAACCCTGCCTACTTTCTGCCTGACTTTTGACTAATACAGCTAACTACATCTCTCTAAAGCTGAAATAATAGTGGATTTGGGGTTAGAATACTGTTTTCTTGTATCTGGTTTTCTTCCACAGTTCATGAAAAACCAAGGCTAATATTTTCAAAATGCTTGAGTAAGAAGCCTAGATCCTATTTTGAAGCGTGATTAAGACACCTGAGAGACGTTAACTGCCTCTGTCTCTGCCCCTAGATGCTTTTTAATCTTTTAGCCTTGATATTTTGTGTCTTTAAAAAAAATAGCATTTCAACCCTATTTAAAAACTTGGCTGCTGCCTAATATACCAGGCATATCCTTACTGATCCCATTCCACCAATTTCAGCTAAGTGTCCATTCAAATAAGAGCAGATAGCATATACAACTGGAGTTCTGCAGTGGCAGGATTTAGTTAAATCCTGTTGTAATCAATGGATAATGACATTTGCTCAGTAGGCAAGTTGTCATGAGCCCTAATTCTAATTACATTTCAGACTTCTAGTAGTCCACTAAAATGACATCCAGCTGTACAGAATTAATACCTCTGTATAAAGTGTGACATTTTTGGCTTTGTAAACTTGGGCATTGCAAGTGTATTTAATTAGCCTGATTTATTAGTAGACATTTCATCTTAGGTTAACAGTGTATGAGTTACTGTATCATCTTTTTTCTAAGAAGCCATTAGTTATAATATACGTGTGAGATTTTCATATGGTAATACTATATCACATAATAATATGGAATTGGTTTGCTAATTCATATACCATGTTAGCTGGCTTAGTGGTGAAGGAATGCTAGAGAAAGAAGAGGACTGTATGTTAGGCCAAAGCATTAATGGTTCAATATGGGTAAACATGGAAATGTTTAGTTAATTTTGCCAAAAAATATTAGCAAGTGGTCATTTAAGTTTTGTTTTATGGGATAAAATAATTTGAACTACAAGCAAAAAAAAAAGTTGAATACATTCGGTTAAGCTGGGTGATTTAGTTTTATATGATTGGGTAGCTAGGAAACATTATTGGTATTTCTGCTCTTAATATCCTCAGTAGTCTTATGTCTGAATAGATTCTAGGAGTAAACTGAAATGCATGACGCTGACATACTGACACGTTTCATTTGTCTTGGAAATGGGAGTCAAGGGCTAACTCCTAAAATCTTTACTCAAACAAACTTTTGTTATGTCAGTATTAGTTTTTCTCGTGACAGGACTGAGTCAGGACTTTGGCATTTAGCCCACAGAAACAAAGAGATGGAAAATATGTATAGCCTGAAGCTTTTAAATCCAGGTCCTTATTAGTCTTTAGGCATATAGACAGATAATGTTGATTATGGGTACTGGTGTTAAAAAACAGGTGTGTATAATTAGGCTCTCAACTCAACCTTCAGGTAAAAAGCCAGGAAAATAAGTAGCCAAATGCTCTTTTTAATCTCAGGAGGAACAGTAGAGTGATTGCAACTTTGAAAATGTAACCTGTTATATAGTTGGCTAAATGTGGTTTTAATACTCTACCTTGATTTTTTTTCTTTAATCTCTTAGCTTCTACATATAAAAACTAGATTTCCTGGTATAATATGGCTGATTTCATGCACATTTGGGAATGTGAGTGCCAAAGTACACTTGAATGTGCTCATTTATCTGTTTTACATGCTAGACACCATATATATTCAGATAGGTCAAACAAATATGTTCTTAGAAATGATATAGTATAGGCACTATCTGAGAATCTGAATTGGCTAATTAAGCTCATCTTCCTCATCTCCCTGTCAATGCATGTTTTCCTTAAAGCATATTTTTGAGTTTTTAACTCAGTAAGTATTCTTACAACTTTTTTCAAATTGATTCTAACATTATCAAGATTGATTGCACAAAATATTTTAATCTTCTTAGTAAAATATAAAGAAATTTAAACCATTCAAAGTCTTCTGAATTTTGAAAAATAGCTCTTGGGCATAATGAGATACTGAAGTGGTTCATTGGGGAGAAGAGAGACTTTCACAGATTTTAATTCTTGTTGTTAATTCACATTTAACAGTAGACACTTACTTTGGATCCTGTTGTGATCAAGGTGAAGATGCTCAAGTTGAGCACTGATAGGTGGAATTTTAGTGAGCTGGTTGTGTGACAGCTGTAGGTCTAAAATAGATGAAACATTAAACACATTTGGGGGAATACCATCATCAGATAATTTATTGTAGTTCAGTCTAAGGAAAGTCACTTTGGGTATCGCATTAAAATAGTTTTCTGGTATCACTTCAATAGAATTGTTGTCTAAAAACAGCTGCATCGTATTCGCTGGAAGGCTTAATGGCATTTTCTTGAGTGAATTTTTTGCTATGTTGAGTTGCATGAGACTGTTGAGTCCCTGGAAGGTGTCACTTTGAAGAGCACTGTCCAACAGCATGTTGTGGTGCAGATCTAGCAGCGTGAGGTTTTCCAAGTTGCTAAAGACTCCCTCAGGAATCCGAGAGATGTTGTTTCTAGCCAGTCTCAGCTGCTCCAGGCTTGTTGGTAAAGGAGCAGGCACCTCCTCCAATTCATTATCTTCCAGAAACAAGTAAAGCAACCTCTTCAATTTGCTCAGTGCACCATTTTCAATCCCCTTATTGGTGATTTTGTTTTTGTTTAAATTTATCCATCTCAGATAAGTGGCATTTACAAAAGGCTTCTCAGAAATTGTTTCAATAAAGTTGTTTTGAAGATAGAGGTACCAAATTCTTGCTGGGATTGCAGGTATTTCTTTAAGTCCTTTGTTATCACAGTATAAAGCATTAGGGAAACCGGGAGGGCAGAAGCATTCTTTTGGACATTCGAAGGTGAAGTAAGGCCAGTCCTCAGGATCTGTCACATCATAGGCTTGTCTCACAATTCGAGTCCACACAGTATTGGTCAAGAAGAATAGCAAAAGGCTGGAATAGATGTTTACTGCCATTGTTTGCCTTAGAAAGGGAAAAAAACAATTATCTGTCTCCAGTTAAAATACCCCTTAACAACATCCTGGATATATTTAACTTAATAATTAAATAATTTTGTTTTGTTTCTGTTTTTTCCCTTAGGAAAGGACCATATTCTGCCATCTGTGACATCACTTTATAGTCATATAAAGGTATCAAATACTAAGACTTTTCAGCTTTGAACGATATACTTGTGATTCAGGTTAAATTTCATGCTGCTAACGCATTAAATTGGGTGTTCAGTCTTTTCAAAGAACCTGGAAATACTGACCATTTTCTGATATTAAATCATGAGTTCTATAATTCTGAAAAAAGTTATATTGGATGCCTTTACAGAATCATTTTTGTGCAAGCCAATAGTTTGAATATCACAATATGTAAAGAGAACTACACACTCTAATATGTATTCCTCCCTTAGTCATATGGTTTTACTTTTTTCTTCCTAAATTATAAGGACATATGGATCAAATTTTCCAGGGCCTTTTCTCATCACACACAAGAAAGATCAAAAAGCATTTAACAGCTGTTTGTTGGGCATGTTCCTAAAAAGCCTAGAAAAAAAAACTACTTGAATAATTCATTCCCCCCATCAGTCCCCCATCTCAAATTATTGGATTTCTTCTTTAAAAAGCACTAAAAAATACTTAAAGAATAAACCATAGATCTCAGGTTTTACTGTGTTTCATAAAACATGCATTTTCATTCATTTGGTACCCAGTTCACATTCATATTTGTTCACTGTAAGTTAAGCATTTGCCATTATTAGACAATGAAAGAGACATCAACTGATCATTTATTCCTCCAGACAATGTGGGGATAGCATAGCAACAGTGCTTCATAAACTCTGTTATTTTATTCGCTTTTTGATAAAGAGTGGAGAGCATTTTGCATCCAGAGGTCAATAGTACAGATGTGTTGTGAAACACAGAAAGTTTACTGCCAAAACTAAAAATCATATTAAAAAATCCTGATACCATATGTGCAAGAGTTAAATGACTAATTTTGTTATTAATTCTATACAAAATGTGGTAATTTCTTGCTATTGGTTATTTTCATTTGTGTAATTAGCAAGTGCATTATCCCACAGATCTGCTAGCCTCAGAAATTGCTGGATATTGGGAAACATTCCAAAAAGTACAAATAAAAGATGTCTTGGGAATGTCATGTTTGATTTACACAATGAAATCACATCCCACGTTACATAAATATCTACACCCTTAACATCAGTTTGTAAAGTAATACAAAATAATTTACCTTGCTAGTCAAGTTAGTGGAGGTGTCTGGAGCTTGTTAGAAATCTCTTTTAAAATTAAACCTTTGGTTGCTACCACTTATTCTGTCCTCCTGAGATTAGTAGCATATAAAGCTGAAAGTACACATGAGCATCCCCTGACACATTACCATGTTATACCCTATTAGCTATTGCATCTAACTTGACAATGCTTCAGAATCTAGCCTTACCTCAGCTTTCTTGGATCTTGTCCTCTTTCTATTGGTCTCTGTTGTTAGACTGTAATCGTTTGAGGCAGGCTACATGCCGTGTTTTATGAATACAGCCTAATATATACGCATCAGTGACTACAGCTTTTAACCCCTAAAATAACTAAGAAACCTCAGCACCTAGACACAAAAATACAGGAAATCCTGTCTAATGTCAAGCAGTCACAGTATTAAAGGCATTTTCACTCAATTTATTTCCAGATTTTAACAGATGACAGTGATTGATCTAGATGAAATAGGTAACATAAAATGCACCTTTTTTCAATCACTGTATTATGTGAAGTTACATTTTATAAAAAAAGTTTGCTTACATCATAATTCATTTTCATATCTATGTTGGGGCACAAAAAATTAAAACCAGTTGCTACGGAAATCTTTTATTTGATTTTGATGTAAAACAGATGCAGGGATGCCATTTAAATATATAGTTCTTGATTAGTGAAAATAGATCATGATACCATTTGCTAAGTAATTTTTAATAAAATGTATTTTAATTTCTGTCAAAATTAGGTGATGTATTTTGATACTCATTTCATAAAGAGATTTTTGTGCACTCTTCTACAGAGACAATACACTCTTTAGTGCCTCTTGCTGTGAGGTCCATTTTTAATCATTATTGCACCAACAAAACATCTTGTGTCTAACTGGTTTTAAACAAGTATTTTCCATCCATTTTACTACCCAAGACATAACTCATGCTTCTTACACTGCAATTTGGGGCAGGGGGGAGGAGGTTCTAGTTTAGATTCAAGGTAAGAGTTTAATTAAAGGAAAATCAGACATATTGTAGAATAATGCAATGACACATGTTAAAAAGAGAGAAGTTTACTTAAAATACTGCTAACATAAAATGCATTTTACTATCTATGTAGATCTTAATACACAGGGGTCTCATGATTGATGCAGTACCATTTAGGTTTACTCTTGCCTGATTTGATTGAATACAACCTTATAAATAAATATTTTATAATACTGAATAATTGACTTCCCAAATACAGCAGGAGGCAAAAAAGTGTAACAGCGTTTTAGCGTAAGAGCTTCATAATATAATATTATCACCTTAGCTGTTTAATTTGTCTGTTCATTTATTTGTTTGCCCGTCAGTCGTTCTTTCAAAAAGTGCTCAATTCTCATTGCCTCCATTAAGGCTTAAGTGCAACACAAAGTTAAGCATATATTAGACTATATTTCAGCAAAGGAATATATTTATGCAATACCCCTTCTTGTTCAGTAAAGCACTTAAGCACTTGCTGAAGTCCTATTATCATCATCAGAATTGACACATTCAATTGTCATGAAGCATATGCTTAAGTGCTTCACTGTATCGAGGGTTCAAATCTCTAAGAGACTTTAGTTATTTATAGGTTATTAATTAATAGTTATTCACAAAGCTGAATACTATTTTTATACAACATGTATATTTTAAAAGCCTAAATCAACTCAAAGTAATATTTTAATTCTAGATCAAAAAATAAAGTCTGTAATATTGAATAGAAGTGATCAATAAGGTTGCAAAAATTAGATCTATCATGCTATTCCCATCCAAGCCAGAATTCAGAACAGTCCCTTAGGCACCTATACTTGCAATACCTTATTATTAGGCTTCTTGCTCCAGAAGCTCATTCAGCTGGAGCAGTTCAGGTACCTAGGATCCTTATATAGCTTTTGCAGGGACTTTGGTGGTATCTATGAATAATTCAGGTTTAGGCATCTAGGTACAGAGAATAGGAACTAGTACGTGCCTTGAAAAGGCAATTCAGTCCTGGCAGCAAGGATTAAAACCAGGATTCCTCATTCCATAAATTATGTATGCATTTTATATTAAACAGATATTCATTTAAAAACAAGAAATAATGGTAAACACAGGGACTAAAACCCAAAATTACCCTTTTCCAGTGGGTGCCACAAACAGCCTATAGAAGGAGACTCCATCTGGCTTGCTTTCCTTCTGGTCATATGTCTTGTATTATTATATTTATATAGCCCCAAGCTCAAAAGGAGGAGGTGGAGAATGTCTCATTCAGCCTGCTGTTATAGCCCGGTGGTTCAGGCATCTTCCTTGGAAGTGGAAGATGTGGGTAAGAATAGGCCTAGAATGTAGGATTCTTAATTCCTGGACAGGTTCTCTAGGTACTAGGCTACCAGGCAAATGTGGGCACCACCACCACCATCACTATCAGCTTTAAACTGAGTTCAGTACTGTCTATATGAATTAAGAATGAGCTCTGTGGACCTACCAGAGCAGGAGAACAGGTCTGCTGATTTGAATTGTTCTTTGTTAATTAGGCAGCAAAAATCTACCAAAGACCCAGTTAGACATCTTGGCTGCCTATACACATGCTCAGGGTTGCAGGGGTGGGATGTTTTAGTTAGAGCAGTTCCTGGACAGCTGCCCCGATTAAAATGGCTCACCATCACATGTATTAAGCCCCCACATTTTTAAATGGCCGTGGGATGCTTTATCTAAAGCTCATTCAACAAGCTTAGAATGCTGGAGTGTACTAATTAGAACACGGAACAGACTCAGTTAATTGCGTCTCGATTAATCAAGTCTCAATTAATCAAATCTGCTCTGATTCATTCTAATTAGAATGTGAATGACCATATATATAGGCAGCCCTAAAGAGTCCATTTAAATCCTGGCTGTAGTCCTTGAATCATTTAATCTGATCTCTGAGCAGTGGTAATATTGTAGCTTTCTCCTATAGTTTCTAAAAATGAAAAATAAGAGTGTTTGACAGTTAGAGTCAACTGGTAGTTAGAAACATAGTTACATGTATTTTAAAATACAATTTCATGATGGGTTGCTTATGATTTTGGACTATTCACCTTGAAATTCATATTCATCATCATTGCAAAAGCTGGCCAGTGCAACATTTTGAATTTTGCTTCAAGTCAAGTCACAGATTTTCCTTCATGCGTTGTTCCTTTCTCCCTATCTCATGCTACTATTTATTATTTAAATAGGCCAATATGTATAGAATGCTAAAAATACAATAACTAGCTTTAAAAAGTGGCTAATTATTTGTGGTGTCTTCATTTTTTAGTGTTCTTCACGAGACATTTTGAAGAGGCCTGATTGTTGGAGTGGGCACTTGGAATTTGTAAAAATCACACCTCTTTAAGATGTTTCAAATTAAGCCACCACATGTCAAAGGATGTCAAATCATTGTTGCTCATGATAATCATAGCTACTTATACAGAAGAATAACAGCAGTAAAAATACATGAGGAGTTTGCATGGAGTTAAAGAAAAACAAGGGCTGAAATTATAAAGATCTTCTGAATTCTCTGTTCAGTAATAAAACCCATCCAAGCACTGTATGCCAATGTCAGTTTTTGCTCCAATTTTTTTAGAAAGATGAACTGCCCCTTTGTGTTTTGTTATCCAGTATAACATATAACGAATTCAGGCCTAATCAATGAAAGATTAAGGAAAAATCAACCCAAGACAGGACAGCTTTCACACAGCTTTGCTTGGGCATATGTTGCTGTCTTCATCTCCCTTAGCAGAGCTGCATGCAGGTACATACTCCAAATGCTTGAGTCACTATAGGACATGGAAAACTGAGACTACATGCAGGACTAGCTGCCAGTGAGGGATCAGAGAGCTGAAATGAGATACTTCTTTCAGTCTTGGCTGCCAGGCCTCTCAGATTTCATCACGAAGGAAGCTCTGGTCAGCAACAACTCTATGCACAGTTCATTACCAAAAAAACCCCAGAAGCAGGACACTAGTAAAACTAGCTCATCATCCACCTGGATTACTGCACGGTTAAGTAAATACACAGGTGCGAAATCCTCATGACATGCCATCAGCATGCCTCCCCGTGCAAGTCCAGTGGAGTAATAGATTTTCAACTTCAACTTCAGAATATTCTCCTGGGGTAGTTCAGTTCAGAAGAGAAAAGCAATATGTGAACAGGCCATTTGAAAAGAGAGCTCAGCTTCTACATGAAGTTTCCAACTCTGTCAAACATGCTTCATTATGGAAATATTTGGCTGTCCATCCTCAGTCTTTCTCTATTTTGAGCTCTTTACCATGGTGACTTCATAAAGATTTCATAATCCTGGGCCAGGGACTGAAAATGATGTTAGTTTTGGCTGGCTTGATTTAATTTACCTCCTTGTTGTAAATCTGTTGCCTCAGTTTGCCATCATGCTTTCAGCAATCAGCATTACTTGCTGTCGCTATTAAAACTGAAGACATTTGGTCTCCTGTAGGGCTTGGGATTTAAGCTCTTAAAATGTCAGTTGTACAATTGTATATGTGAAAATATCTCTGTCATTACGTGCCTAATTAGTGCATGAATGAATCATACAGAAACAATGGGAACTGATGAAAACAAGTAGGTGCTTAGATCCTTAATTGCCTGTTTGCTAGGCAACTAATGGATTTGTAGGTGGGTAAATAAAGATGTTAAGTGGATATGCAATTCCACTTTCCTTCTAGTTTGTGTAATTCTGTTCCTGACATTTTAATAATTGGACCTTCATGAATTAAACATCACAAGGCCAGTGAAGGCAGACCATCCATTGCTAATAATCTCTTGTTATTCCTGCTTGATTATGTCAGGAAGCACTAGTACAAAGATGATTCCATTGTGATGTTTTTTGCAGTCAGACAATAAATAATGAAGGCCTAAGGACATCATGAGATAGTTAAAAAGGAGAAATAATCTAGAAGAGAATTTGTATACATCTTAGGGAATGAGGATCTCAGATTTATTTTTTTGGCAGGGGGAGAGGGGGAGAGATACAATAGAGATTGGACATACACTAGAACTGTGCTTCTACTAGGGTATTGCTCAGCACATAAAAACTCCAAATCACCCAAACGGTTTAGATAATGATTTGCTAATGTCATAAGCTTTCATAGAATCATAGAATCATAGAAGTAGGGCCGGAAGGGACCTTGTAGATCTTGAAGTCTGACCCCCTGCCTAAGCAGGAGGAAAACTGGGCTCAAATGACCCCAGCCAGGTAGGAATCGAGCTGCTTCTTAAAGCCCCCCAGTGTAGAAGCCAGCACGACTTCCCTTGGAAGTTGGTTCCAGATCCTAGCCACCCTAAGTGTGAAGTAGTTCTTATGGATGTCTAATCTAAACCTACTCTCCAACAACTTGTGGCCGTTATTCCTTGTTATCCCGGGGGGCGCTAGGGGAAACAAGGTCTCCCCCGAACCCTTCTGGTCCCCCCTAGTGAGTTTATAGACTATCACAAGGTACCCCCTCAGCCTTCTCTTGTGAAGGCTGAACAGGCTCAGGTCCTGTAGCCTCTCATTGTAGGGCCTGCCCTGCTGTCCCTGGATCTTGCGGGTGGCCCTCCTCTGGACCCTCTCAATGTTGTCCATATCCCTCTTGAAGTGGGGTGCCCAGAACTGAACGCAGTATTCCAGCTGTGGCCTGACCAGTGTTGCATAGAGGGGGAGGATCACCTCCTTGGCCCTACTTAAGATGCACCTGTGGATGCACAATAGGGTCCGGTTGGCCCTGCCGACTGTGACCTCGCATTGTCGGCCCATGTTCATCTTGGAGTCAATGATGACTCCAAGATCCCTTTCTGCCTCCATGCTCTCAAGAAGGGAGTTTCCCATCTTATAAGTGTGCTGCTGGTTACTACTGCCCAAGTGCAGCACCCTGCACTTGTCAGTATTGAAATGCATCCTGTTTTTGTTAGCCTACCCCTGCAACCTGTCCAGGTCTTTCTGCAGTCTTTCCCTCCCTACTAACGTGCCCATCTCACCCCAAATTTTGGTATCATCAGCAAATTTGAAGAGGTTTCTTTTCACCCCATCATCCAAATCGCTGATAAAGAAATTGAACAGTGTGGGCCCAAGGACCGAGCCCTGGGGGACTCCACTGCCCACTTCCCCCCAGGTCAAATATGACCCGTCCACCACCACCCTCTGAGTACGACTCTTCAGCCAATTTGCAATCCATCTGACTGTGTAGGCATCGATGCCTCAGTCACCTAGTTTTTTAATGAGGATGGGGTGGTCGACAGTGTTAAAGGCCTTACTGAAGTCCAGAAAGACTACATCCAAGGCGACACCTGCATCCAATGCTTTTGTGTCCTAATCGTAAAAAGCAATCAGGTTGGTCTGACATGACCTGCCCCTAATGAAACCATGCTGGTTGCCCTTGAGCATCATCCCCGATGCCGACCCATCACAGACGTGCTCCTTGATGATCTTCTCAAAGAGTTTCCCCAGGATTGAGGTAAGACTGACAGGCCTATAGTTGTCCGGGTACTCCCTCCTCCCTTTTTTAAAGATGGGGACCACATTGGTCATCTTCCAATAATCTGGAATCTGGCCCGAGCACCATGAGCACTCGTAAAGCCATGCCAAGGGCCCTGCAATAACCCCTGCTAGCTCCCTCAACACCCTGGGATGGAGAGCATCTGGACCTGCTGACTTGAACACGTCCAGCCCCTCCAGAAGCTCTCTAACCCAGTGCTCCTCAACCTTAGGTCTTGAGGCATTCCCCTCGAGTCTGTCTTGAAACACGGTTCGAGGGTCCCGGTCCCTGCACAAGAAAACGGAGGTGAAGAATTTGTTAAAGAGGTCTGCCTTCTCTTCTGGTGCAACCACCAGATTGCCCAGCGTATCTTGCAGGGGCCCCACATTTCCCAGCGCCTTCTTCATCATCCCTATATATTTGAAAAAGGACTTTTTATTATCTTTGATCTTGGATGCTAGTCCTAGCTCTATGTCCACCTTAGCTTTCCTAACAGCCCCCCTACAGGCCCGAGCAGTGGAGGTATACTC